CTTATGCTAGAACTATAATAGTTTGATTACTATAGCTTTGTACCAAGTTTTGAGATCAAGAACTGTGAGTCCTTCATCTTTGCTTCCATTGCAAAAATTTTCTTCTTAGACCCATCAATGATGAACTATATCAAATTTCCTAATATCGAATCATTGTGGATTTTTGAGTTAAATCCTCCTATGGTTTATTTTTAGATCCCATTTGGCCTATTTTTTGCCTAATTTTTCATCTATATTCATAAGCGGAGTTGGTCTATGATTTTCTTTTTATGCTATCTTTGTTAGGTGGTGTATTAGAATTTTGTTAATATCATGAAAAAAATTTGAAAACTGTCCTTGATTTTTGTCTTTTCTTCTATGTGCTCTGCTATAAACAGCATAAGAGTTATTCTTCAAGATTCTGAAAGAAGTGACCTGTGAAACCATCTATAGTCAGTCTGTTGGGGGAAGATAGTTTTGGAGTTTTAAAAACTTTCTCTATTTACTTCATGGCTGGGGCTTATTCAATTTTTCTTTTTCTACTTCAGCTAATTTTAGCAATGTGTATTTTCCTAGGACATTCTTACTTAATTTAAAATTTCAAATTTATCAGCATAAACCATAGAGTATTCACATAATTTGAGTCTGTAACTGGGTCTCCCACTTTCTTATTTCTAGTATATCTGTGTTTTCTTTCTTTTTTCTTTATTAATGCTTATTTCTAGTACTACCTCTGAGTCATTTAATCTGTTTCCATTTTATATTAATAAAAAATGAGAAAGTACAGTTTTATGATCACTGTGTTACTTTTAGGTGCTGAGAAATGAATACAGGTTTCCAAGGGATTTTATTCTATTATCCTGATCGATTCAACTGGTCACATATGGGTATTTATACCAAGAAAAAAAAGATAGGGGGCAGACTTGGTGTTAAGAAGAAAATAAAAATATCTCCTATATGGACTCTTAGCTGCATAATCTATTTTAGAAATGTGGAGATGGAAATTAGACTGTCTTATTAGACTGAGAAAAACATGCCCGTTGAAATAAACATTATTAAAGAGGTCTCTTTTCTTCTCTGAGACACTCTCTCTCTGAAGAATTGCAGCTGATTTATGCTATAATGGCTAAAATATTTGACACTGGGACTTCTTTTGTCTGTATGCCTTTTCCAAAATCCCTCTGAGTAAGGGACTTTATTCACAAAAAATGTACTTTAGAAGAACTATTATGTGGAATTTCATTCTTGGATGAATTAAGTCATTTTTCCTTTTCTTGAAAAAAATATTTAAAAAGCGCATTTTACCCATTTTAGTAATGTTATCCATGAGAAGAAATGCAGAGCTCTTATGTGAGAGACTGTACAGTAAGCAGTTCTCAATATTACCAAAAAGTGACATAACAATCATTAACTTATAAGATGCTATAGGGCACATTATCACTTATACATAGCCTATGTTATATAGCAAATATAGGATGCAGATGTGCTGAACATGACACCAAAACTTGTTTGGGGCCTTTAATCAAAGACAAGTAGTAAAACCAAACTGAAGTGGGCTATTCTTTAAGTATAAATTTGGAGTATAAGTACATTTGAATAAGTCATCTGACCTAAGCATATGTATTAAATCTAATCACAAAATTTAAAGCTAAAAATAAAGAGATCCAAAACCATCTTTCAAATGTGACACTAGGCGTCAAAAAAGTTAGATTTAAACAATGTTACATAACTAGTAAATTAACAAAACCAGGAACAGAACTGATCTTTTGATTTCTAGATCTACTCTTTCAATTACTTCACTATCTTCTTTCAAGCATCTTACATTACTTCTGCAACTCTATTTAAGTAATGGTTTACAGTTTACTGCTCGTAAATATATTAAGTTCATGTTATTATTCTTTTTTAAAAAAGGTGGTCGATCAAATAGGGAGGGTCATTCGTTTTGGTAATGTTGCTTATGGCTGGAGTGAGGCTTGATCTTCCTCATAGTTCAATATTTCTTTCATAAATGAAATCACACTGCTTTTCATAATTAAACTATACCACTGATAACAAAAACATTAAATATGGGGAATTTTCCTTCACAGAAATATTATAGGTGAGTCATGAAGAAGAAAGAGATGGAATTGGAGTATCATCATTTTGCAACCCTTAATGAATTAATGGTTACTGTCATCACAAAGATAGATAATCAGCTATTGCGTGCCTTCTGATAATAGTCCACACCACCAAAGAAGTATTCCTGGGGAAAAAATATCAAAGCTAAATCTGATCAAGCCTCCAAAACTACCAATTTACAAGAAGTACAGGAAACAAAGGAACATGTCAAACAGAGTAAGTTTCTGGCATTTTCATTTTCAGTTTGCTGAGGAGTTCAGGACCCACCAGAGGGATGGGTTCCAATGACCACCACCAGTCTCTCAGCTGGAACACCTGGACAAGTATGCCCTACGAATCAACGTAAACCAGAGGTAGACAGAGCCTTGCCAAAACTGTAATCCAGCCTCCATTCTGTTAATATAAAACTTGACAAGGACATTATAAGAGAGGAAATTTATAGGCCAATCTGTCTCAAAAATATAGATATGAAATTTCTGAACAAAATATTAGCAAACAAAATCCATCAATATATTCAATAACCTCAACTTGATCATGATGGATATTAAGTGGAGTTTATTTCATGAGTGTAAGGTTAGGTGATATTCAAAAAACCCAATAAGTATAATTTACTACCTAACAAAATTAAAGATAAAAATGATATAATCAACAGGTGCAGAAAAGACTTTGATGAAATTTAGTTTCCATTCATAATTTTAAAATTATTTTTTAACCATGAATAGAAAGGAACTTGTTTAATCTGATAAACTGTGATAAGATCAGGAATGAGGCAAGGATTCTTGTTATCACTAATTCTATCCAGTACTGTATACCAGACTCTGACCAATGCAATGAGGAAACAAAAAGAAATTAAAAGCATAAGGATTAGAATGCAAGAAATATAACTATAGTTGTTCATAGTTTATATAACTGTATTAGAAACTCAAAAGAATATACAAATTCCTAGAATTTATAAGTGAATTTAGCAAAATCACTAGATATAATTTCAACGTACAATTGTATGAAACCTTCTCGATCAATCTTTCCTTACTCCAAAAACAAACAAAAACCCCCTCAAAAACAAGTCAATTGTATCCTTCCACAATATATACAAATATTGAATCATTATGTTATACAGCTGAAACGAACATGTCAATTATATCTCAATTTTTAAAAATTCAATTGTATTTCTATAAGAGTATAAGCAGAAAATGAAAATTTTAAAAAGATGCCATTTATAATAGAATCAAAACTGAATGTTTGATATTATCCTTCATTCATATATCTATTCTTCTACCTTCCCTAAAATAATATATGGCAACTCTACCCTTCCAAATGCTCAGATCAAAAACCTCAGCCCTGGCTGGCATGCCTTTATTATTTAATAATAAATACAGCAAAGGTATCTTTCAGTGCCTCCTGTGTCAATGATCATCACCTCTACTAGTTTGGGAAAAGAAACTAGGTATCATCCTTACTACCACCATTTTTCACTCCCTACATCCAGTCCATCTCCAATTCTGGTTGCCTTTATTTCTTAATTATCTCTCAGCTTCTTTTCATCTCCATAGTCACCACTCTAGTCTCGCCTACCACTGTATCTGTCCTCTAGATTACTGTAATAACCTTTCATTAGACCCCTTGTATCCTCTCTGGACTACCTTCAACTACACTGTAGCCAGAGTCCCAGCAACTTGGGAAGATGAAAAGGTTCTGGGAGATGGATGGTAGTGATGATTGCACAACAATGTGAATGCTTTAATATCACTCTACTGTATACCTAGAAATGGTTAAAATGGTAAATTTTATGTTATGTGTATTTTACCACAATAAAATTCATCTCATACAACTTCCTACACTACACAGCCTACTTCTTGGGGCAGGGGGAGTAGTAGAGAAGAGTGTTAGTTTTTATGTTTATGTTAGAGAGGTTTTTATTCTTTTCATGTTATACTAAACATTAAAAGTTAAAATATTTATTATTCCTATAAAAGAAGTTTCAGCAAATGAGTTAAGTAAATAAAGCTAGGTGATTAGAAAAATGCTCTGTTACTGACACTGTGGAAAAATTTATTTTCAAAACCATGTATTTATTGCCCTGGTTGGTGTTCCAAGTGGTTAGAGCACTGCCCCACGCACCAAAGGATCTCGGGTGCGATTCCCAGTCAAGGGCATGTACCTGGGCTGCAGGTTGAATCTCCAGCCTTGCTGGAGTGAGTGTGGGAGGCAACTAATTGATGTGTCTCCTTCACATCAATGTTTCTCTCTCTCTCTTTCTCTCTGCTTTTAGGACACAACAGGCCTGTCTTTAAGAAGGCAGACTCTTGCTACTTCTGCCCTGCTACTTCATAAGCATATCCCATTGAAATTAATTTGATTCTTGATCATATGAGATTTTTAGATATTTAAGGATTAGTATTCTCATCAGAAGTGATCTTATTTGTGGTTATTTCAGATTTAAACCAGATTATATACCTTCTTACATAAACTTTGGATTACCATTTGAATAAAAAACTATTGTTCCAAATTTTAAAATTTTGGTTTCGGGAACCAATGAGTAAACATAATGAGTAAGTGTCCTTTTACAGAGCAAATCTCAAAATCTGAAACCAATACCTTCAGTTTTCTGTTAAGTATCATTGCTCATTCTTTCCCCAAAGGATTTAAACACCTCCACCAGCCTAAAAGAGACCTCAATGTGAGAAAATGATGTGGCAAAGCTACATAAAGGAAACATCCTCTTAAAGTATAAAAAGAAAAATCACTAATTATAACCTATTTTATTAATTTTACCATTGAAGCAGAATATGAAGATACTAGTTTGGGGAGGGTTTTCTTTTAACTGTCCTAATTATTGGGACTTCACATACAACAGACTATCCATTCTCTTCCACACATAGATTTATAGAAACATGATCTTTTACCTTAACTGGGAAGCTACATTTTCCAGTACGAACCCCTTCTTCATCTGTCTGCCACTGATGTGGGCGACTGGCCTCTGGAATATAAACATCTTTCTTTCTCCTAAAACTTTGCCGTAGTTTGTTCATTTTAATTTTTACAACCTGCAGAGTCAAAGAAATATGAAAAAGATATTATTACCTTCTCCCATAAACTTTGGATTACAATACTAACAAAAAACTAATGTCCCAAAGTAAAGACTTTGGTTTGGGGGGAAATGAGCAATTAGTATACTTCCTCTGAGAGTAACACTAAATTCAAATCATTTCACATTTTGAAGGCAATTATAATACTAGTCTTGTAAAACAACAATAACCTCTTAGGATTTGAAGAGATGTTATTCTGAGAACTTTCAAGCACTTTTATTGTAATAATTCAATGAGTATATCCCTAATGATCTACCTCTCAAATCCATTCTCACTTCAGAAAATGAAAATTTGTACATGCAGGCAAAATTATAGACTGTTAATAATTTCTGAAAACTTTCATACTTATTAGGAAAATAATCCATCTGAAACGCTGGAATCTGGGAACCGTTTTGGCTTACTATTTGAAGACACTAAGCAAAGCAGGGACTATAATCACATTTTTACAAAAAGGTGTTTTACAAAAAGGAATAAAATAAACTTTCCTTTAAACATGCTTCAAGAAAAAGTTCTACTAGGAAAAAATTATTCTAAAGAAATTTCTTGCAAGCAATATGAAATCAGAATGTACTTTCATATCTGTAATTATTATAGATATGAAAGTAGTCCAAGTTTCACCATTAACTCTGTAAATTAAAAAGTGTTAAACTATAGTCAGTTTTTTGTTTTGTTACTGAAAGAAGCACTTCTCTAATGTTTTCAAAGGTGTAGCAATCACAAAACTACAGGGAAGGAAAATCTAACTGATAAGAAAGAGAACATTCAAGAACGAATGAATAAACATAATGAGTAAGTGTCCCTTTACAGAACAATCTCAAAATCTAAAACCAATACCTCCAGTTTTTTGTTAAGTAGCATTGCTCATTCTTTTAAGCAACTCAACCAGCCTAACAGAGATCTTAACTTGAGAAAATGAGTGACAATGCTACATAAGGGAAACATCCTCTGTCAGGAATGCAAACAGCAAGGGATTGAACATTCATTCCCACATGACACCGCTGAAAGACTTGAAAATCAAAGTTTGCATTCTGAGGAAAATCATTTCATATTTTAAAATGCATAATGCCACAGCATAACTATTATCAAATTAGCTACTTTACACAGACAAGTCAATCTTACCACATATCTTCTCAAAAGGTAAAAATTCTGACAAATGGTGAGGTAAAAATCTCTGGATTTTCTAAAAATAAATGTATTATTTCTCAATTCAAAACTGATTTACAGAGCATATGAAGTAGATGTTAAATAATCAAAGGGCTGGACAAAAGGTAGTCCATTCCTCTGCTTGTAAGTGGATCATTCATCCCTAAACGAAGCTAAATGAGAGTCTACCTTAATCTAACAGATTTCCAAAAAGAATTCCATAAGCTTCCTTGATTCTACATCCTGTTATATCACATTTTAAAAATATACACAAATACGCCCTACCTGGCTCAGTGGTTAGAGCGTAAGCCCACGGACTGAAGGGTCCTGGGTTCGATTCTGGCCAAGGGCATGTACCTCCGTTGCAGGCTCAATCCCCGGCCAGGGTCTGGGTGCATGTAGGAGGCAACTAATTGGGTTTTTCTCACATCGATGTTTCTCTCTCTGTCTCTCCCCCTTCCTTCCACTCTCTCTCTAAAAAAATAAAAAATAATATCCTCAGGTGAGGATTAACAAAAACACACACACACAAATACAAGAAAATGAAAAAAGCACCTATATCCCTTGCTCAAGTTAGCACTCTAATAATAATCTTTAGGCAAAAAGCCCATATGAGTCCTTTCTAATTAATTTCCCTTAGCAAAACAGACTACCCTCCAATCCAGTGAGTCAAACCAGATACCTGAGAGTCATCCCTGCATTCACCCTTTCTCTGACCAGTGACTCCACTGATTTTACCTTTTTAGGATATCTTTAATTCATTTCCCAACCACCACCACATTAGTTCTACTAGCCTTAGACATTTTTGCTTAAATTACTGCAAAAGCCTTTCACTTAATGGTCTTTTTGCTTCCAAGAGAGGTCCATTCCACCCTGTTCTCCTGACTAATGCCAGAGTGCTTTCTAAAACACATATCTGACCACGCAATCACTCTGATTAAAATCCTTCAGTTGCTTTACTTCACTTTCAAGATAAAGTCCAAATTCCTAAGTATGGCAAACACAGTCCTTTTCATCTGGTTTCACTCACCAATCTTTTCACCAGTCCCTATTCACATGCTAAGCTCCAGCCATACTAAACTCCAGTTCTCCAAACAAGGCAGGCCCTCTTTCAGTTTCTGTATATTTTCCTCCCTCTGCCTAGAAAGACCTTCCCCTATTTGTGTCTGATTAAAGTCTACTCATCTTTAAAGAGTCAGCTCAGGAGTCTTCAAGGAAGCAATTTTTTTTTTCTGACAAGTCCCTACCTGGCCTGGGTTAGGTCCTTCCATTTCATATGATCCCCATTAACACCTACTACTGATTGCTTTTATTACTGGACTCATCAAAACTAATAGCAATTTTCTATTTCCTTAATGGCAGACTGTACTTTGTTTAAATACTACCCCTGCATCCTAACACAGTACCTGTCATATATATGGCATACTATAAATTCAAAGAAACTAAAAGATAAAATAGACCCCCATCATATTAGATGATATTTACTAGGTAGGGTAAATGTAGACACATAAAACCAGAGAATCATCAGTGCTGGAAACACACTGCAGATGTAATAGGTCAACCTCCCACTGACAAAGAAACTACTCTGACAGCTTCCCTTAAAGAAAGACATCCAACCTATACCCTAATTATGATGATTTTCCAATCATACTTTTAAGTCTTGCTCTCTTACTCAATTTCTATATTTGAGTGCATTGATGTTGCCTCAAAATACATTAATTTAGAGTTAAATCATCACCTCTTACCTCACTTCCTTAAGTCCTCCCCTTCTAACCCAAATGTTTGGGTCAGTAAGAACTGTTTGAGAACTTGTTAAGTGCTGGGCCCTACTGTTAATGTTGGTGGGTACAGAAATCAATAAGACAACTTGCCTTTAAGTGGTTCTCTCCCCTCATAAAAGGTTGATTTCTGCACAATATGGTGACTATAGGGTATGCTCTGGAAGCAGTGTAGGTTCAGGATACACTTACTATAGGGGATATTGCCTGAGTTAAGTTTTAAGGGAAGAACAAAAAATATCCATATACAGTGGGGAGTGGGAGGGATATTTCAGGTAGAGGCAACAGCATCAACAAAAGCATAGATGCAGGAAATCAAACACTAGGCAGCAATGTAAGAGGAGGAGTGCAGAAATGAGGCTGAAGGAGTAGGTAAGGATCAGGTCTTGATTTCTAACCTATAGACAACCAGAAGCCACTAAAAAGTTTAAAATACATGGTCAGAGTTGCAATATAGTTGGATAACTCTGGTGGTGGTATGGAAAACAAATGTGGGGGGGGGAAGGACTGCAGATGATTCAAAAGACTTTTAAAATAGTCTAGGCAACTTATGACAACAGACTGAACGAGGGCAGTGGGGGTGGTGTGGGAGTAAAGGGGACTTTAGAAAACAAGAGTAGCACTAAGAATTCAGTCAAATCCTAGGACGACAAGACTATAAACCAATAATCAGCTTCACTGTTTGCTTCAGGAAATTGCCAACTAATTTATATGAGCAAACAATGTGTGCATCAGGGCAAACAGCACTCCTAAAAGGACAATAGATTGCCTCAAGACCCTTTTCTTGTGTCTAGTAATTCTAAATACTGTCACAAACTGCCCAGCCCAACCAGTTCCCCACCTGAAGGACCTGCCTTAAACCATGTGAGTTGAGATTTCAAGATTCTAGATATACTCTTTCCTAACTTCCCCTACCTACCAGACTCTGTCAAAGTGGTGTTCTCCCTTGCTGCAGTCAGTTTAGTAAACTCAGCTTTGCTTAGTCTACAGGATTCTTTGTGGGGAAAGCCAATAGCAGGAATTGGTGACTGATTATGAAACATGAGGAAGAGGAAGAAGCCCAAATATGACTCTTAAGTAAACTGGATAGATGAGTTCAGCAAACTGAACTGTTGAATTTGAGGGGCTTAATTATAGAGCTTTCCGGCTGGAGATGTGTGTAAGCCTGAAGTTCAAGAAAGAGGTCAGGGCCACCACAGGAAGTCATTATAGGTAAAACTTTTCTTGTAATAATCTCTTATTATTTCCTTCTTTTTCCCTAATAGGAGTTAGGATACAGTAAATAGAATGAAGTCCAACACACTAAAAAATAAACAGAGGTGCATACGCCGTGTAATTGGCCAATATGTGCTGTACTAATATAACCCTACCAGTGATTAAATTTTTGCAATGCTTACATTCTAGAAATTATTAGTCACAATGCTGAGCCCCTCTTCTAGGATCCAACACTTGACCTTCCACAGTCTAACAACTAATAGGTTAATACCTGGTTTAACAGAGTATTAAGGCCAGTGAGTGTTCTGATTGGTCAGTAACAGTGCAAGTCAGATTCCAAAAGTCCCAACTCTCCTGGCACAGTTGTTGGCTCCTTCCAGGGTCTGCCTTCATGTGCGCTTACCCAGTCTGTGCTTACCCAGGTAGGCACAGAGAGGAACATACAATAGTACTCACTAGCCCTCCACAGTTTCCACTATGGTTAGTGAACTTTAGCCCGCATCACCACATGTTCCCCCAGGGAGATCATGAATACACTTATTAGGAAAGACAGAACCATTAGCAGTGACACTAGCTCTCCAGCAGTCAAACAGACCAATTAGCTCTTCATCAGACTGGATAAAAAAGCAAGACCCAGCTATATGCCCTCCAAATAAACCCACTTTAAACATAAATACACAAATAGATTAAAAGAGGATAGGGGGGAAAAAATACCACATAGTAGTCAAAAGAAAGCTGGAGTGGCTATACATCCCCCTCTCCATAATTAATAGACTAAGGCGGCAAAAAATCAGCAAGAATATAAACAGCAAGACAAACAGT